AAACCGACTATACACGCTTTTATTAGTGTTGTGGGATCGGAATCCGGTACAACGTCCACGACGAAGTAGGGTTACTTATAAGTACCCGTACGCGGGAAAATGACAGTGCTTTTAAACAATTAACCTCGCCGATCCCATACACGCTTTTATTATCGTGGTGGGAATGAAGACATGGCCGCGGTGTCTAAGGACACCTACCATACACGCTTTTATTAGCATGGTGGGAAGGCCTAGAATTCTGTAGTTTTCCCGTAAAAGGGGAAGACATTAGGAGGCTGCCGAAATTTTTGGTGAATCAAGGACACAACTTGGGATTGAAACAGGGGACTTATGAGCTCGGACTTGAACTAAATGGATCTAAATGAATTCAAACTTAAATGAATTTGAATCCAAACAAGTGACAACGAATAATAGGGAATTCTGGACTTGAACTCTCATTTGAGCAAAAGCAAAGGACTTTCACTCAAATTAAACATCAGTCAAACTTGCAAACATTGAAGTTAAGCTTGAATGAACACTTATAGGAGACTTGGACAATTATAAAGGACTTTTATTGAACTTGATTTGTACAACTTGAACTCAACAAGACTACAAGAACTTGAACTCAATCAAACTTGCAAATTTGGACTTGCACATTGAATTTGAGTTGAACAACTTCGAGTGGAACTTAAACATTTGAATTCAAGCAAGGACTTGAACCACAAAGGACTCGTGGAGGAAGGTATCCAAGCACGATCAACATGGAAGCAAGAATCACGTGGAAATGCAATTAATATGAACTTAACTCGAATTTGAACACAACTAAGATGAAGGAGCAATAATGAAACTTCATTTGAACAACAAACAATCAAATATCATATGATGCTCTCAATGAATAACACAACTTGCTTGCAAAGGTAAATCAACAGGCAATGAATACTGCGACACTCCTACAGTCAACAATAGTCTTGTGTTAAGCAAATATATCAATCTCCTATGAACTGTCGTAGGAGACCTGTCACATACAAACAAGGGCATTTACAAGTAGATGTCGGAGAGCTCTCGCTCATACAAAAGTTCAATCAAAGGTAATAGAAAATAATATGTGATAGATGCTAAACTCTCTCATAGTCAGCAATTACTTAATACCAGTCAATAAAACAGAAGCACCAATTCCCTGCAACCAGAAGAGACGATATACATGCAAATGAATGTTAACAACCAAATAAAAGACTCATGGTGGAATTCTCAAAGCATACAAGTTTCGATCAATTGGTCAGATTATTTAAACAAAGATCAATGAAGGGATAGATAACCCATGCCAAAGCTTTGGCATGCATGATATGTTGTTTCACAAGCAATAACCAACATGAATGTGATGAACGAAGGAGAGATGAAATATGCAAGTTTCGTATACACGAGCTGATATATCAGACTATTGCAAGCATGACTACAACCCATTTGCAACCAAAGGCAAATGACATACAAGAAGTATGACCTATTCACAAACAAAGGTTACTTGGAAAATGCAATGACATGCCTACACTCAATAGCAAGGAATTCTTAGGGATGTCCACTGATTTCGAAGTATAGGACATCAGTAAGAAAGCAGACATCCATGGTCGAAGCGATTGATTCCTTATTAAAACCAACAATTGAAAATAGGGATGATGACATAACTAGGAAGTTGCTTATTGATTTCTATGCGAGTTTCTGGGAAGAGAAAACCAGATCAAATCATTATAGAGTGAATCTCAATTCAACCAAATCTTGGACATTGAGTTGGATAAGATTATTGAGGCTTGCAAGTTCCTTGATGAACAATGGCTGTGCATCCAACATACCTCATACGAATAAATATTGAGGCAGTATAACAAACACAGACTTCTATGAGCCGTCGTAGAAGACCTGTTAAATATCTAAAATGCCCCCACATATGCACTGTAATATGTATACACATAGCTACACAGAAGGGGATGTATAAAGCACCCGCATGGGCATCGACAAGTGTGTTATGGGTACACACGTGACGTTTAGGAAGCTGTGCGGGTCAATAAATGAACGTAGTTCGAGCCCGATCCTTCTATACGGATATATGAGAGTTGACACAGCTTGAATTATTAAATAGATATATACGGTCAGAGTGTCGATCGGAATATCTGTTTTATACGTTAATATAAGGGCTTCAAAACCTTCAACGAAGAAAATTTATTAACTAAGGTATAAAGCCTATGAAACCCAATCCCTTATCGGCAAGTTGATAGGGTCGACAAGGTTTAGTTAATGAATGACCTCATACACCCCAATAATGACCGTGTTGAATGCAGATCTCAACCGGAGGAGTTAATTCCAATTATTCAAATGATTTTCAAGCTTCACCCAAATACCCATAAAAATCCAAAAATCTCAAATAAAAAAATTTAAAATCAAAATCTAACCATAATTTAAAATCAAAATCTAACCATAAACCACTTAAAGTAAAATTCAACCACCTTCCGCAATAATTTGTCGGGGTGGTCAATTTAAAATTTATTTAAGCTCATATAAAGCTAATGCCTGATCGAAAATATCTCTAGGATCCATTCTCAAACAATTTTCTGCCAATAAGGACGTGATTTGTGTCCTCTGACCTGCAGTTTTGCCGTCAAATGGCACAACATGATAAATGGTTATTACTCGGGGCCCTCTGAACCGAACAATTATTAGGTACCGGTTATGACCAGAGCCAATACGTTTCTTAGTGGCATCAAATTCTTGAGATATAAATCAATACAATATAATCGATAGGGCACAAAGCCCTCTGTTAGCTAAGGTGGATTCAAATTTGTTTCCTTAGACAAACATTCAACCTAGGTCTACAAGGTCCCCTTGGACGAAGCAACCCATGACTGCCGACATGGATCCTTCTGTCAGGTTAAGTCGACTATCTCCTCTGACTAAGTAGACCTGGGACAATGATAATTCGGGACGACGGAACCATGGGATCTTGATCAGATCCATCATCCATTCCCCCACCATCCTCTTTAAGTGCAAGATGGTGAAAATTTTCTAATTTTAAATATCACATCTTCAAACGACGAAGCAACCCATGACTGCCGACAAGGATCCTTCTGTCAGGTTAAGTCGATTATCTCCTCTGACTAAGTAGACCTGGGACCATGATAACTCGGGACGACGGAACCATGGGATCTTGATCAGATCCATCATCCATTCCCCCACCATCCTCTTTAAGTGCAAGATGGTGAAAATTTTCTAATTTTAAATATCACATCTTCAAACTCTCCAATTCTCAAGCTCATACTGCTACTATATGCCAAATACTATGTATCTCTATGTATCTGATTGATGACTAGCCTTAATCGAAAGTTCTCTCTCGTTTATCGGGAGGGGTAATTAACTATAGGTGCTTGCGCCTATAGAAAACCAGAACTCATATAATAAAGTCATCGCAAAATGAAGGCAAAATCTCTGGGTAGTGTCTTATCTACAAACCCATATGCCTTCTCAAAATTTACCCTGGAACTTAAATCCGTTAAAACTCCCCCGAAGAAAAGCAAGCGAGTGGAGGCCGGGGCCGAATTTTCGGAGGCCACATTATTATATAAGTGGGTCGAATCTTTTTTTAAGGTCATGTATATATTACTTCAGGATTGTTGATGGGTGCAACTTATAAAGGGATGATTGATAGAATAGAAAATTACTCCAAAATTAGTGGATGATTGGAGGGAATCTAGTTCCTATATTCGTGGCTGATTTTGGAGGGATCTGGGATTCTGCATTTATTCTAATGTCTTTCTGTATTGATGACGCTAACATTTCTGTTCTATTTCTTATGGTTAATTTTTTTTAATCTATTTTTCCAGCTATTTTCTTTGTGACTATCTTATGGTTCATGTTCGACCGTTCATTTCCAATTGTTTTTAATTGTATGTGACTGATTTTAGGCCACGCCATCATGATCCATCATGAAGGGAGTAGAAAAATACTAAGTTCATCTATAGAGGTTCTGCCTTCTTCTATAACTGAAATATTCAAAATTTGTTATAACTAAATTTAAGTGTACTCTCACTTGACACTCTATATTTGCTTATTTAATAAGTGGTTTCTAAAACTGAATGCTTTAATTCTATATGTACCAGGGGCATGCATTTTGTACTTGTTTCATCAACTATTTTTAATACCAAAAAAAACTTCATAATCCTTGAATGCTTAACATGAGCTCTAATCGCCGCCCATTAACCCAACCATGCATCTCCAACACTGTTCATTGATTTGATTACTGCCCAAAAGCTTCTAATTATGATTTTCCTGCATATGATTATTAATGTATGTTTGGAAATAACGAAATATGATTTTCTGGTGATGAGATGCTGGCAAGCAATAATTAGGTCACATCTATCTTTTAGTAACTAGATCTAGTTTTCAAGTAACTAGACGCCCAGAAAACAGCTAGATAGAGGTAGTAAAGATGGGGGAGAAGGGTGTAAAACCTAAATATTGTGCCTGAAAAAGACTAGTAAATATTATTTGAAAAAGATAGGACTAAAAACTAGATGAAAGTCATCTTAAAGGTCTTAGGTGAATTCCACCATCCATCAAAATATATACTATCAACATCAGACAACTCCATGTTGTCCAGAATTTTCCTGATGATTTGCTTAGGAGAACTTTACTTCCTCATAATCTCAGGTTTGACAATTAAAATGTGATAATGAGAAAGAGCTGCTAAGAAAGAAACTATTTCAAAGTTAGCTAAGCCCCTACTTCTCTCGCACACTATTTTAATTGCATACTATGGTCCGTCCTTGACTCAAACTTCAGTTGAAATTTCCCCAAGTCAGTACATCTTTATCTCGTAAGGGCATAATAATTATTAAGTGTTTTTGATTAAATTGCTCAGCAGGACATCCTCTACATCTGTAGCATACTTTTTTCTTCGCACTCCTATAATTTTAGAAAATTATTGAAATAATACTCTTGATTAAAACTTTCTTATTGTATTAAATTGTCTCTCTGCGCAGATAGCCCTGTCAAGGAAAGATGCAAGGACCAGAGAGAAGCCCTTCCTGGTGAACCACGATGTGTTAAATGTGGACGTTATGGAGAGTATATATGTGATGAGACTGATAATGACATATGCAGCAAAGAATGCAAGCAAATTCTTCTATCCGAGATTACAAATGATAAAAAACAAACTTCAAATATCAATACTGTAAAGGTACCTGCAAATGATGAGTGCTTTTATGTCAGGGATAACAGATCTCGCACTGAATCTTTGAACATCAATCAGATTGAATCTTTAAGGAAAAAACTTGGAATTCATATCAGGGGAGAATCTGTTCCTGGTCCCATTTTTTCCTTTTCATCTTGCAACCTTCCAAAAAAGCTTGAAGAAAATCTCGAGAATGCTGGGTATGAGTTACCCACCCCCATTCAAATGCAAGCCATCCCTGCTGCACTTCTTAATAGGAATTTAATTATTTCCGCCGACACGGGGTCCGGCAAAACAGCATCATTTCTTGTTCCCATCATTTCCCTTTGTTCTCGCATCCCACTTCAACACCTTCGTCCCTGCGACAGAAGGCCACTAGCCATGGTTCTTGCACCTACAAGAGAGCTTTGCATTCAGCTGGAGGATCAAGCCAAAATTCTTGCCAAGGGTCTACCTTTCAAGACAGCCCTTGTGGTTGGAGGAGTTGCAATGGCTTCGCAGGTCCATCGAATACAAAACGGCATAGAATTAATCATTGGCACGCCCGGTAGGCTGATTGATCTCTTAAGCAAACACAACATTGAGCTTGATGAAGTTTCCATGTTTGTTCTGGATGAAGTAGACTGTATTCTTCAGAGAGGATTCCGAGATCAAGTGATGCAGATTTTCAAAGCACTCTCACATCCTCAGTTACTGATGGTTTCTGCAACAATCTCTCATGAGGTGGACAAGATGGCAAGCTTTATGACAAAGAACTTGACATACGTGCTGGCCGGAAATCCCAACATCCCCACCAGTTCTGTGAAACAAATTGTCATTTGGATTGAATCCAAGCTTAAGAAGAAAAAGCTTTTTGAGATTTTGACGAGCAAACAGCACTTCAAACCACCTGTAGTTATCTTTGTAGCTTCAAGGCTAGGAGCTGATCTTTTATCTGAAGCAATTACTGCTTCTACTGGCTTAAAAGCACTTTCTATTCATGGAGAGAAGGCTATGAGTGAGAGAAGAGAGGTTTTGAGGCTGTTTCTCACAGGGGAAGTCTCCATTGTAGTCTCCACAGGGATCTTAGGGCGAGGCATAGATCTATTAAAAGTTCGGCAGGTCGTAATATTCGATATGCCGACATCTTTGAAGGAGTATGTTCATCAGGTTGGAAGAGCATCTAGCATGGGAGAAGATGGAGCTGCAATTGCATTCATTAATGATGATGACAAGAAGCTTTTCCAGGAGCTTTTTCATAATTTAAAATCTGCCGGAGCTGCCATTCCAAGAGAGCTTGCAAATTCGCATTATGTAATGGGTGGCTACCCTATCGTTAGACAACAAAAGAGAAGAAAATGTGGTGCTTGAGCCCTCCTGATTCTTGTGCAGTTGTAGTAATATCAGTAGAGATTCTTTATACCATAGAAAACTGGCTTTAGTACTTTCTGCTCATTTTTGTATTAAAAATCAAGGTTGTAAAAATTGGACCGGATAACGAACCGGCGGAAGAGGGAGAGGTTCACGGTTCGACTGGTTGAACCGGAGTCAAACCGGATGACGCATTAAATAATAATATTATTAAATTCATTGAAATAGAATCATGTAAACTTTTGTGATTATTTATGACAAATTATTCTCAATTTTAATTTCCTCAAAGTATTTAATCCAAGACAAACTGGCCTACCAATGATTGAAAATATCTTGTTTAGCCAGGCCAGACAAAACTGAAGTGAGAGCATAGCCATTTTCCCATGATTCATGGTTTCAGCTAAGGGGGTAGGCTCGTGAGCGGCTCGAACTTGATTTATTAACGATCTCATAAATCAAATTTATTGAGTCACGAGTCTGAGTTCAAACCTATGCTCGAGCTCGAGTTAAACCTGACTCGCTAGGAAAAACTCGTTGAGTTGCTCAATTAATTAAAATTATATTTAAAAAATAATTAAAATTAACATTGTCCAATGTATTTTAATATTTTTAAATTAATTCTTTATTAATAATACAATTGTAAAAATATTAAAAATTTAATTTAAAACAAAAAAAAATCAAAATCAACAAATGAGTTGAGCCCAAACTTAATAATAACTAATCAAATTTAGCTTATTTAGTCAAATATTCGATTCAGCTCAACTCGTTTACACCTTTTTGCACCTTAATTGTAGCTAGTGATGCTTCTTAGATGAGAGCTGATCATTGTCTTAACCTACGATTTAGGAAGAATATATAAGTGGAATTATATTTTTGTTTAAGGAACTGGCACCAATATTTTTTAAAAATAACAAAACATTCAAAGATTTATTTTATTAATTAAAGACTATTTATCACCGCATGAGGAAATAATAACTTTGTCAGCTTGGAGTTTTGCTCCTCTATAAAAAACTATTAAAAACAAAGATTCGTTTATATAAATGCACTCTTTTATAGGAACTTTTATTCCGTCAGATAGCCTATAATATGTCGTCACGTGCTCTTACTTTTTACCGCGCGGCCCGACGACCTGACTCGGACCAAATCCGGGATTACTACGTTCGCGTATTGCTCGGTATAGGCTCGGTATTGCTATGTATTACTCGGTATTGTTTGACAATAACAAGAAATACAACTCTGTGAAGACCAATACCGAGTAATACCTAAAAGAACTCGGTATTGCTCGGTATTGCTCAGTATTGATCTTCACAGAATGGTATTTTTCACTTTTATCGAGCAAAATCGACCAATACCGAACTACGCAAACTCCCGGATTCATTCCGAGTTGGGTCGTCGGGCCGAGCGGTAAAGAGTAAGAGCACATGGCGACATATTATAGGCTACCTGACGTAAAGCTACATTAGGTAACCTGACGAATAAAAATTCCTTTTATAGAGAGAAGACTGAATGACTAAGGTTCCCATTGGGACGATTTTTTTACAGCTTTTTAAAAAAGATTTTTAATACAAAATATTTAATTTTTACACCTAAAAATTGCTTTAAACAATAAGAAAACTGTCTCAAATAAAATCTAAAAAGGCATATGTGAGACATCACAAGTTACTACACACGACAATCAACAAAAACAACAAAAGTAGGGTGATTGTGATTGGAAGGCAAGAAACTTTAAGAACATTTACAAGCTTCATTGTGCAGAACTAAAGCAATTCCACATGAACATAAGAGGAAGTGGAAGTGGTAGTTAGACTTATAATATGCAAGTGTTCAACTAGACAATGTAATATTATAGTTAAAGTTTAAGATCATTATATGATTACAATTTATTTTACTTTTTTGCAAATAAGAATAAATGTCATTATATTTCAACATCAATTGCAATCTATATTTCCAAAAAAATTTGCATTGCTACAATTTCTATTACTTTTTATTACATGTGAATGCTTGCATATATCTTCACAGATATTTAAAAGATAACCAACATATTATGATAGTCAAATTCACCCACAAGAACTCACTTACCGATTCAAGAATCATTAATCCCCAAGAAATTGCAAAATTTGCCCAGCAAGATTAACAAGCACTATTTGTCCGGGCCTATCAAGTAGCTCACCCTTTTATAAAGCAAATCAAGGATTTCTCACTGAAATAGCAATTTGGCACTCGACAAATACTTAGATTGTTGTCTCAATCACTCTTTCCTAGGGCAATCATCATCATGCAAGTTCACTTGGCTCAACTATAGGAAAATACCAATTAACAAAACCCTCAATTCATTTTGTTGCAATCAAGAAATTATTAGGTGCAAAGTCTATACGTAGAGATACATTCGGACTCTAATAAAGTATTAACACGTGGAGTGAATGCATGAATATTTAATTAGATTTATTTTTTACTTTATATATTTAATGTGTCCATAAAACTTTAAGCCAAGCGCATCAAAAATACAAGTAAAACGCAGTAAAAAAAAGCAAAAAAAGAACAATCAAAACACAACTAAAGCGCAGATAAAACACACAAAAAAGTGAAGTCAAAGAGTACTCTACATGTCAAACTTTAAGTGGATGTCTAAACATATTTCTACGTTCGGACTCCACACCTAATATTTTCTCGTTATAGCCATTCAACCTAAAGCCTCTTCCTTTCACGAGACATCTCACTCAGCCTATCTTCTCAAGAGATTGGATTAGAAGACAATAAGATTCTTTTGTAAGCATAAAAACTTCCTTGTAACATAATAGAGGGAGAGCAAGAAGCAAATAATAATCATTTGCAATGACAATATCAACAGTGGCATCTAAAGGAAGATCAAGCCGAGAAATAGACTCCAAGCTCTATGATTTTCAAGGGAATAGCCATATTTAGCCAAAGAACGTCACAACAAAGAGAAAAAAAAAGCTCAATCCCAAAAATCTGTCATCCATTAGAGAAACAGTAGCCACCAAAATGTGCTTCTGAATCAATAGTCTTCAGAAAAGATTATGGGATGAAAGAAGATCATAAGAGAAGCCTCATGCAATGTGATTCAATATTGTATTTTATACTGCACATTTGAAAATATTTTCAAGCATGAAACTTCAAAGTCCAAAACAAAATGTTAATGGAACTTCTTGTTATGCAATCGTTTTACACAGTGGATGGGTAAACCTTACCTATCCAACCGAAGCCAAAATGGCATCAACGCAAGCATAAAGTATAAAAAAACAACAAACACAAAAATAAATAGCAAATTCTCCGATTACAAAGCTGTTAACAAAGACCGCAGATAGAATTTATATGTGAGTTTAACAGTACCAACGCTGTTGTTCTTTGACTTTTGTTTTCTCAGCCAAGCATTTTAACAAACTTAGAACGGCTACAATGAGCGGCTGAGAAACTACCAGACGATAACTTTGATCCTGAAATGACATATAGGCAGAGGGGTAGAGATAGAGAGAGTGATTGAAAATTCATGCAGAACAAGAGAGATCACTTGGCAGGCATCTGCGCTGCTGCGACAGCTGTCTGGTTCTCCTGCTGCTGCTGGTAATTAAGCGGCCTCCGGAAAAGCATGATGTGAGGCTCCGGGCGGTGAATAGCATAGTGAACCCATCCCCGGCTCTGCTGCACGCCAATCGCTCGCCATTCGTTCTGTCGCATCCAAAAACAAAATCAGCCCGCAATAATAGATGATCCCAACTTTAGCCAAAGGATTTTAAGATCGAGCAACTCTAATAGCAAGAAATCTAAAAATTACCTCAGAAAGAAGGCGATTCTTGGGGAGCAACTTCGCTACTTCCGGAGGAAGGACGACGTGCCTGCATCAAGCAGCAATAAACCAGTAAAAACACTGGATCATCATAGATCAGATCCAAAACTTATCTAGCAAACAATAATATGGTTGGGAACATGCCTGTACTCATAGATGTCGTCGAAATACTTCTCCGAATACTGAATCTGTCCCATTTTCTTGACGGATTAGCCTCTGAAGAAACACCCGTAAATGACGTTAGAACGCATAGTGGAAGTAAAAAAACTCTATAGATCCATAAACACAATAAAAGCAGCGAGTGATGAAAGACAGGCAAACTGACGATCGATCGATCGATGCTTTGGTGATGGAGATGACGCTCTCCAGTAGCAGATTTAGGGTTTTGGTTCGGAATAGAAGATAACAAGATTTAGGACGCCGCTCTCGATATAAATAGCGGCACCAAGTGGGGCCGGGCGCGGAAGCGAAATGTGCCATTTCGAAATTTGAATCGGAGAAAGCGTGGCCGTTGATGTGCTCGTTGAACGGTTAGATGTTACGGCGTATTTTTTTATTATCTTGGGACTGTTTTGTGGCGTATTTCAAAAATAAATAAATTTATATAATCTATACTATTTATTTTAAAAACATATTTGAAAAAAGTTTTCTTGGTACTTTATTTTTAGTTAATAGTCATAATTTTAATTAATTATTATTTAAAAAATTTCTGAAAAAATATTAAATTTTACTAATAAAATAGCTAAACTACCTCCCCTAAACAGATCCATGGTCTCAATACGGTTCAACCGGTCGAACCTTGAACCGCTCGCTCTACCGGTTCGTTGCCCGGTCCGGTTTTCACAACCTTGATTTTATCAACTAATTAATTTATTAAATTTAAAATTATTCATGAATTACATTACATTGTTATTGAGGCTTCCTGGGACAACTTTAAACCAGTATTTTTTTCTATTTTTAATTTAAAATTATATCTATGCTGCAAAATAATTCATATGCCTTCGGGCATAATATATGCAAGGAAAATATAATAATTGTTGCAGGAAAAATAATATTTTTGAACATTTCCACTGAGTATTATTAATTTTTTTATTTCAAATAAATGAAAATTATTTTTATTACAGCTCTGATGATGACAATTGTCACCAAGATTTTTACGAAAAAAATCTTGAAAATGCGAAAAATCATGGGATCTGATCCAGTTTAAATGAATCCGCTATTACTTGCAGTCGAGTACAACGAGTAGTTTTTAATATCCACACCAATTCTCAAAACATTTAATTTCTTCACAACTATTCTATAACAGTATTTACAGGCAGATGTAGCCGCTCCAAGTGGACACTTAGTTACCTCAGTTTCTAAACTGTATCAATCATCTCATCTTGCGTTCTTATGTGCAAAGACAGATTCTCCACCGCAGCATAAATTTCACGAGCTCGAGTGTGAGAACTATCATTGGCAAGAAACAAATGAGTTTGACCCTTTTCCTCAATCCAACTCCATCCTGGGCTCTTATGCTTTCCCATATTCCTAATAACTGACCGTATTCTCGCTAAATCTTCCATTCGTTTAGCAGTAGCATACAGATTTGCCATCAGAACATAGTTACTAACATTATCTCCCTCTAGCTCAATGAGCTTATTTGCTGCAATTTCACCCAACTGAAAATCATGATAAACAACACAGCCACCAAGCAATGCACCCCAAATAATGGCATCAGGTTCCATTGGCATACTCTTAATAAACGAGAATGCTTCAATAAGTTTTCCAGCTCTACTATGAAGATCTACCATACATGAATAGTGCTTTAGGTTTGGTCTTATATGATAAGTTTCCATTACGTTGAAGTAGTGAAGGCCTTCTTCAACTGAACCTACATGAACACACAAAGACAGAACTGATAAGAAGCTGATTTCATCAGGTATGATTCCATCTTCCAGCATTTCTTGAAAGAGGGCAAGACCTTCTCTTCTGAGCCCATGCAACGCATATCCTGCAAGTAAAGTATTGAATGATACCAAATTGTGTGATGAAATCCTTTGAAAGGAAAGGGCTGAGCGTTCTATGATTCCACATTTAGCATACATGTCAATGAGTGCTGCCCCAATATGAACATCAGTGTCATAACCGCAACGAATTGCATAAGAATGAGCTTGTTTTCCTTGTTCCAAAGATACCAATCTGGAACAAATAGGAATGATCATCCCTATAGTATATATATCCGGCTTTAAACCAGTAGTTTGGAGTTCAGATAACATTTCTAGAACAAATTCATTGTGCCCATTCTCCATGCAACCGGCGATTAATCCATTCCAAGTAAAGATGTTGGGCTCAAATCCATCGTTCCTCATTACGTAAAGCAACTCCTGGGAGCGGTTTCGTCGATTCGCCCGAGCATAACCAGACATCAATAAATTCCATGTCACCAAATCTCTTTCAGCCATGTTATGGAAAATCAGCTCTGCTGACTCAAAATCAAAGTATCTGCAGTACATTTCAATCAACTTATTGCACATAAAAGGATTTGAATTCAGTCCCCTTGATATTGCATATGAATGTATCTCCTTTCCTTCAGCCCATGCAGCGCAAGCTGTGAGAACACTGCCCAAAGTAAAGGAGTCAGCTTCAATGCCTTCCTCCTGCATTTCTCTAAAAACTTTCAAGGTTTCTTCAAAGTTTCCATCATCACAGTACCCGGAAATTATCAAGTTCCAGGAGATGGTATCAGCCGTTACCCCATCAAGTTCCATTTGATAAAATAATTCCTTGGCCTTGATCAAGTTGCCATTCTTACAATACCCATCAATTATAGCATTATATGAAACCAGGTTCCTGACTGAAGATTTCAGAAAGATCTCAAAGGCGCTGCCCAAATCTCCGCATTTACTGTAAACATCAATCAGTCCATTGAGAATGAAAGGATTTAATTTGAGATCATGCCTGATTACATAGCCATGGATCTCTTTACCAACCTGAAGAGCCTCCAATCTGCCGCAGCAGGGCAAGACACTAGCCAAAGTCTGAGCATTCGGTTTAAAACCATTATCGAGCATTTGACTTAGTAGCCCTACAGCTTCTTCATCATAGCCATTCTGAGCAAAGCTTGCAATAGCAGCACTCCATGAAACAAGATTGGGCTTGGCATCACCACATGACTGCATTCTCTCTAGAAATTTCAGGGATTCGAAAGCCATCCCACTGGAAGCAAAGCTAGTGATCATACAATTCCATGACACACAATCCCTTTCTTCCATCCCATTAAAAACCTTCAATGCCTCATCCAAGGCCCCGCACTTTCCATACATGTCAATTAGGGCATTACTCACGTATATATTTGAGAGAAGTTTTCTCTTGAGCAAGAAACCGTGAAGCTCTCTCCCTGGCTCAATAAAACCAATACCTCCACAAGCCTTGAGGACCACTGGAAAGAGGAAAAACTGTAACTCCAGAACAAATTCAGCAACAAAAAGTTCGTGAAATAGGAGAAGAGCTTTCTCATTAAACCCATGCTCGACGCAAGCATTGAGAATGCCAACCCACGAGTATATACCTCTCTGAGGCATTTCATCGAACAGCTGGCAGGCATCCAAGAAGCTGCCGCATCTGCCATACATGTACAGCAGCCTTGTTTCGAAGAATTCGCGGCTATTGAAAAAATCTCTCTTGAGGGTTTGTGCATGGATTTGGCGGCCAAATGTAAGGCGGCAGCAGCAGTCGATGGCGATGGCATAGTTGGAAGAATTTGGGTGAACTGGGAGAAGACTTGGTTGGTTTGCAGGAGATAAGGAGGAAGATTCCAATGGAGTGTGATTGCCAATCTTACAATTTAATTTGGATTTTTCGAGAATGTTGGAGTTTTGAGAATTTACTGAGGCCGGCAAAGTGAGCAGCGGTGTGTAGGCGGCCATTTTCGCTGTGGCAGCCCAACCGAAGCTCTATCACGTCATAATTTTTTTTTTTAATTTTGAAATTATAAGGTATGAATTATTTTGTCACTTCAATTTGGTTGCCTAAAAAAAAAAAGAATTTATATATCATACAAATATATGCCCGCTTTATTTTTATTTAGAAAAAAATAATTAAAATTGTATTTCAAATGAGAGTGCCTTTATTATTGAAATATTGATCATTGTTTCATTGATCTAGCGAATGATTGAGCAAGAAAGTCGCTTCGACTTCTCTCTTCAAAGGATCGTAAGTTTTATTTGGGTCAGCTTTTCTACCGCTTTCTACAGGAGCTTTTTAGTACAAAATTTCTTTGAAAATAGCCAAATAAATACTTGTCAAAAGCTATCTTAAACTAAGCCTTAGCCAACTGGGGAGGGTTTAGAATGCCTGAACGCAATCCCTTCCAGGCATCTCTATTGTGATTCCTTCACCAAAACTCATAACAAAAATTTATTTATGTATATTGATTGTAAATTTATTATAAGGAAAATAGCTTAGCTATTATGGTGGCATAAAGCAAGTTTAGCACCTTAGAAATTTTTGGAAAAATAATGAACAAGTAACAAAAAAAAGGGTGGAATATTTATATAGAATTTTTAATTATTTTGATATGTTTTAATTTCTTTAAGCTGATAAGTTTTGTCAACACGATAAGAACCTGTTGATTGGTTAGTTCTGACTATGTTGTACCTGTTAGCATGGTTTAATAGCAGCTCAAGGGAGCATCTAATGAGGCTTAATTGCCATAACATGGGGTTATGGCAACATATCTCTTATTTTATATTAAAGTTAATTAAAACAATTAAATGGGCCATTCAATTAATTAGCCTATCCTTAATCTAGGAGATTAGGATTAGGTTAAGGCAAATATATGCAGGCTCAGTTGATATGGTATTGAATTTATTGAGCTTGATTTGAGAGTTTTGTCATTCGGTTTAGGCTTCGTTGGGGATGACTTTTTTAATGATTTTTAAAATTTTTTAACTAAGACTTTATTTGGGACGGCTTTCTTACTGCATCTTAAAACAATTTTTTAGTACAAAAATTAATTAAAAAATTCTTCACAAACGAAGCCTAAGAGCACAACTTTCTTTCTGTTTTTTTTTTTTAAATAATTAAAAAAAAGCTTTAAGAAAGGTATATAAGTTCCATATAAGGGTAATTTTTTTATGATTAACTATATTTCAGAAGAGGTTGTGACTAAATAAAACTCTTGATTAAAATAATGATAGTATTTTTATTATTTTAAAGTTTATATCGAGGATTTGATCTTAAAATTCAAATTTAATTAGATTGGCTCAACATTGGAGTACTTGATTTTGATATAGAAGCTAAATGAGAAAAAGTAGGGGCATTAGATATCTAATAAGTTCAGATATGCTCAAACTATCATATATTGGCCTTTAATATTTTAAGATTTATTTTTTGTGTTTGAGTTGATCAATTTATTTAAAAAATTAGAATTTCTATTTCTCCAACATAAAATTGAGAAAATGTCTAAGAAATAGGGTTTATGATGTAATAATGAAAAACAACAATCTCAAATCCTAAATCTTTGATGAAATCCATCACTAGGGGTGTAAGTGAGTCGAGCCAACTCGAGCTCAAACTTGAGCTCGTTAGTAAACGAGCTCGAGTTTCAGTTTGATGACGCTTAGCTCACGAGCCGCTTGAATAATTATTAATATTTTTTTAAATAATTTTATTTTATTTATTAAATTTAAATATTTAAAAAAATTAATAAGAACTGCCTAAGTTTTATTTAAATGTAAAAAATTGCACCTTTTTTAAAAATCCCGTCTAAGATTTAAAAATTCCGCCTGTGGCTCACTAGCCGGGTTGCGAGCTGGCTTGCGCTCGTTTACAGTGGGACGAGCTTGTGTTTGAGCTTGTCTTTTGAGCTCAACTCGAGCTCGAGCTTGAGTTCGAGTTGACTTTCTGACTGATGAGCTGAACTCGATAAGGCCTAAACTGGCTCTACTAGACTCGTTTACACCCCCCATCCACCACTACATTGCAAGGTTTTGAATTGTAAGGGTTTTGAGCTCCCCTCTAAAAAGATGGGCCTTAATTAATTTTCTAGTTTCATCAACAACTAGTTATTAAATATCAAGCTGACATGAGTAATACTAATATTAATAACTGATGCACATATTTTCTATGCATTTTTACAATGGCTTAGATCTACTTTGTATCAAGCTGCATTCTCCATAAATATTTCTTCATGAAATAGAGAGGTTAGTGACAATGGATATTTTAGAGCATATATACTATTTCTCTCTATTTCTACTAATTTCCAATTCATTTTGATTGTTCAAATAGAGTAAATCAACCCAATTTTAGTACTTGGCCAAAATAGTCTGTGTAATGATAATCAATATTCATCATTTTTAGTACTTATGCAATTATACACTAAAATAGCATCATTGTATCATTGTTCTATTGGGTTTGAGGATCATAAACTAAAATAGCACATTGGTTGAAGTGCTCCCTTAAAGGTATATAGAATATATGTAATTCGTCTACAATAAAAATATTATAAAGATTCAAGTCACATTGAAGATACTAAAGCGAAGGGACAATAGTCAACATCTCATATGATAAAATAAGAGTCGAAAAATGAAAATTAAATATAGTTTCATAATTTGGAATCATACTTTCATTAGATTCATTACTCTGAATGAATCTTTTCCGAATGAATTAGTTTTTGTATGCTTACAAAACTAGTGTCATCCGGTCTGACTTCTAGATCTCTATTGTCATCCTTCAATTTCAATCCAAAGAGTATGAAAGAAAGCTAGGGAAACCATATTCAAATTGCAGCCTCATCTTCACCCTAGCACCATTCCTTCTTGTTTAGAATAGTGTTGAAAATAGAGTGGAGGTTAATTTTGATAGGATATATTTGAGGAAGATGAATCATGTCAATAGGATGTGTTTCAGGAAGAAGAATGATGTCGATATGTTACATCTCACATACACAGTGTTTCATAGCATTATAGTTGCCCACCTTGTTGATAAAGAAGGGCTACAAATCCTTGGAATGGAGAGCTCATATCTTGCATGCATATATTGTATACACCGATGCTAAATAAAAGGCACTATCTTGCACTCATACAACCAGGTTCATCTTAATAAGGCCCAAAAGGATGTTATCTCATCTATAATATAGAACTTTGCCTCAATCTTAAGGTCGCCAAACTGACATAATGATATAACCAGGGATCTATTGAACCTTCTCATTAAAATCATGAAACATTGATTTCTCATAGCACTACTTCATGGTGTTGACTAACAATGTTAATAGGCATTTTTCGATCCACCAATATACTGTTTAAAGAATTACCATATATTAGTTTTGTCGTAGATAAAGAATGATTATGATCAATCATCTCTAATAGCAAATCATCATCATAAAAGGTAATAGTTAGCATCTCATTAGAAATGCATATCTCCTCCATCTTATATTTGATAAAATGAGATTGAAAAACCTCAAGTTCAAGTACAACTTGACTAGTCTCATGAAACTCAAGAGAAAATACGTCATAAATGAAACTCAAGAAAAAATACGTCATAAATACTCATAGTGTGAGCAACTTTCTAAGATGAGCCAAAAAATTATAGTGCCATAAAGATGAGAAGTTTAAGCTATTTTCTCTTTATCTTGATTCAATTTCATAATAATAATGTTTTCTTGCTTCTCTTGAGCTGTATGTTTGGTTGCTTGAGGCGGGACGACTTTTCATTCCTAATTTTCGATTATCCAATTTCATGAGTGGATCAAATATCTTCTTTGAGAAGAATATCATTTTCTTTAATATCAAGATCTCATTATTAAATTTTAAATATGGATTTTATTAAAATTTATGTATTATTATGATCAAATAATGGTTCTCCTCCACAAGAATCACTAAAAATTCTCATAAATACAACAAAAACCACCATTAAAAGGCATCATTGACGCTCCTTCGCCATCATCATCATCTTCTTCTTCTTCCATGTTAAACTAATTAGATGAAGAAATCATGCACAAGGAAACATCATGAACATATACAAAGAGCTTTCCATTTTTCATTAAGAGATACATCATACTTTGATGCAATGCTCATAGATTTCTTCAGCATGAGCTTTATTTAATACATATTAGGGAAAACTTCATATTCCTTTGATTAAGTTCTTTTCTTTCTAGCTGAGATTTTGTTTGGGATGACTTTTTTATTGTTTCTTAAAATAACTTTTTAGTAAAAAAAAATATAAAAGTTATTTTAAGAAGCAGGGAAAAAGTCATCCCAAACGAAGCCTAAGACTTCATACTATTTTGCCATAGCAACTTTCAACATAATATTATCTAGATATCAAATATGTGAATTAATTAATGAAAAAGAATCTTCATTATCTCAAACATTGGAAGTGACTATGAAATTTAGATCTAGGTTTCATTTGAGACGACTTTCTTACTACTTCAAATACTTTTTTATGCAAAAATTAAAACTTTTTATATAAAAAATTACTTTAAGAAACAGTATGAAACCGTCCAAACAAAGCCTTATTCAGATAAATATTCACTATAGTGTTTCAACTGGCGAGACCCCACAAGATTTTGACTTCTTGACCTACAGACTACAACTTGAGAGGATAAAGGGGTAATGGTTGCGATCATTTGGCTCATTTGATCTCAAAATTTATTGATGTATTCATGTTTCACTTTCTCTTTCATTGGATCAATTGAAGAACCATCAAGAGTACGTGTGTCAATTTCGGGTCATGGGTCGGGTTCGGGTCGAACTCAGAGAACTGACCCGACATTAATCGGGTCAACCCTAAACCAACCTGTTTTTATAAACGGGTCAGTTTTCTAGACCATAACCCAACCCGCTTCGAGTTCGAGTCAACATGACCCGACCTATTTCAACCAAATCTCGTGCCTCTATTCAGCCAAATCCCGCCTTTTAAGTAAAATTTTTTGCCAAATCCCACGTTTGCGGGCGCTCGATAGTGGCAGCGGGCAGGATATATGTGACATACAGCGTTCGGACAGGTGTGTCAGTGTGTCACATGTAGCAGAAGTGGTTACGCGGGCAATGGGCAGGCGGGGCAACGAGGACAGGTGGGCAGGCTACGCGGCTCGATGCACGCGGCAGCCAGGGCAACCAGGGCTAGCGAGCATGCGAGTTTTTTCAAGTCATTCCGTGTCATTCCCGGGTTTCAGTGTCAACCCGAGCCCGACCCAGTTTTACAAACATGTCAATTTTCCAGACTCGAACCCGACCTGCTTCAGGTCAACCCAAACCCAAAATTTTTGGGTCGAGTTCAGGTCGGGTCCAATATTGACACCCCTAATCAAGAGCCTAGATAGAACCAAGATATTCAATCTGATTTGGCTCATGAAGTGGATTTTTGAATAATAAATTGTTTATTTTTTTCATTACTTTTATTTTTTAATAATAAATTAAATCACTTTTAAAAATACTAAACCCTAAATTTAAATATTTTGAGAGTTTTTTAGAACAATAATAAACTAGCCTCTAAACTTTGATTTTTCATTTTGATTTCATAAGTAAAATAGGATGATTGCTCTATTTTCTTTAATTGCTTTGATATATGTGCATTACATCACTATTCTATTGAGGTATGAATTTTTATAAAAAAAAAACTTTTGAGTTTATATGCCTCATAATATTCAAAATTGAAGAAATATATCTAATATTTAGTTTATTAAGAAAATATGCCCCAAAAGTTTTCTTGAACTAAAATACTTTTAAAATTTGAAAACATGTTCTAATTTATATAAGCAGTGTTTTCGTACAACAAATTGTTCGATCTCTCATATTGTTAATGCTTTCTTATTCTCTAACGATGCTCATTAATTAGTAATAGATCTGAGCCAAAGTTCCAATGCAACATTTTTGTGTCTTCATCTCTGATTAGCCAACATTCGTTATTGAAAATTTGTGATTGATATTATATGTTTACACCTTGAGCCCTAACTTAATTTCAATATCAAGATCAAGATCGAATAATGGTCAAAGAAGCTTCGATTATCCGTCAATTATAGTTCGATCAAGGTCAAAACAAGTTTTAAATAAAAGAAAAAAAAAAACTTCAATCATGTTTCGAGCAATAGCCAAGCATTTGACTATGTTTTGATGAAGCTTCGAGCAAGGCTAAAATTTATTGTTTTTGCACTCATTTAAATTGTCTTGCCATGTATTGTAAATATTATGATGTTAAAACTGTGTAAAAATTATATTTATTTTTTGTAACTGCTTCTAAATATTTAAGCTTGTAAATATTATGATGTTATGGTGTAAAAACTTTGTAAATTTTAACATATTTAGAAAACCTTGTAAATATTATGTTTTTTAACATATTTAATAAATAATATAATGTTAAAAAACTTTGTAAATATTATTTAAAATTTTTTTAAACATATTTGGATGTTGCCAAATGAAATATTTTTATATAAAAACATTTAATTATATTTATAATTTTATATTGTAAGCTTTTAAATAATTTATATTTATAAAAAAAAAAAAAACTTAGTGGCCTATTGGATGGCCAACATTGGCTTCTTCATACCTGGCGTTAGAATGCGCACTAAATGCTTTTTAAATGTTTGGGATGGCTTTCTTAATGCTTTTTAAAGCAGTTTTTTAGTTCAAAAATTTTAAGCGGCTTTAAAAAGCAGTACCGTACCAAACGAAGGCTAACACTAGGAAAAGATGATGCATTTGGACATTTTGAATCTCATTTCATATGAAAAAAGGATCAGTTGCATGTGCTATAAATACAACTTAACCTGCTTCCGAGAGATGATATATCCTATGAACAATAATAAAAATAACAAAAATTGAACAAATGTGGCTAACCTGTGCTGCGAGAGAGAAGATCTTAAAGATGGAAGCCCATGCGGCTGTGATTCTCTTCCTTGATGAGCTGAAGCAATTCGTGCTTGGTGCCAGGTTGATCGCCGCACAATGTCAAATGCAATGCAAGCAGCTCCTCTGAACTGGCTTTCTTAAATAGGGATTTGAGTTTGGCGTCAGCTCCTGCAAGAACAGGCTGGGGAGGACCTTTACACTCCGCAGTGGTAGAAATTGCTCTCTGAGGCCGGGCTCTCCAATACTCTGAGCAGACTCGGTTCTTATCAATTGCTTCAAGTGCCTGCAGATGAAGTCAATAAGGATGTACTCAACAAATTATTTATAACAGATTGTTTCAAATCATACAAGGATCCTTTCACCAAACATTCGTGACTTTTAATTCCAATTTCAGCAAATCCATTAAGCTAATTCATGTATATAGTCTCCTTCAGTTATCTATATAATGATACAAATTTAATATCTATTTACTGAAGATGCGTTTCAAACTGTAAAACCATAGCAAGAAGAACATATATGGAAGTATGACTTACCATTGGAGATAAAATTTCAATATAGTCGACAACTTTTTTTGTGTGTAAACCCCCATACTACAAACCTAGCTTTGAATCTTGGATCTTCTACTTCAGGGACTCCATCCTTTTCTTAAACCATTTACAGCCGTGAATCTTCTTATTTCTTGGCTTGGCTGCTAACACTCAGTCTTGTTCTTCTTAAGAGAGATCATCCCTTCAGTCATAGTTTGCTACCATTTATTTGTTTCTGCACTTTCTATAGCTACTTTATAGGAACCTGGTTCATCGCCTAATTAAAAAAGGACTGGCCCAAAGACCAGTCCAGGAGGGACTCACCTTGTTTGCAAGATGGAAAAACAAAAATTGCTGCTTCATTCTCTCGTACGGCTCCCTCTTTAGTTTTCTCGTCATAAAAAAACAGTGAGAACCTGAAGAGTTCAGTCTTTAAATCTATGTCATGGTGCATAGCTCTCATCACATCTGAAACACAACCCTTTTGCCATATTCTCCTGTAACTCAGTTTTTGCGAGCTTCATGAAGTTTCCCTCAAGTCTCCCTCCTATAGTCCACTCATTCGAGGTCTCCCTAAGAAAACTGAGTGTCGGCTCTTAGGATGTTAAAAATGCTCACAGCACTCTACCACTATCCCCTCCTGCATCATAGGGAAGAAATGCTCATAGAAGTCCTCTCTCTTATTGATTCGAAAATGTTCCAACAAGCAGTCCTCAAACTCCCTCCAGGTTCATATGGGTAGCCTTGTATCCCTCCACTGGTACCATGCCAACACTTTCCTCTCTAATCACATCCTGACCGTCGTCATTCTCTCCTCCTTTGTCAACCTATTGACAGTAAAATGCCTTTCCACTCTGTAGATCCACCCATGTGCATCATCTTCCTCAAAAAAGGGCATCTTCAGCTTTCTCACCCTCAGATCTCATCTATTCCCCTTGTTTCCTCCATAATTTCCCATTCTCCAAGAGGTTGGTTTCCCCCAAATGTCTCAATTATCCCAAACCCTTTGTCAAAATCCTCAATTCTCCTTTCAAATTCAGCACCTCTTTGATCATAATTAGCCCATCTCCTTTCAAATTTAACACCCCTTCGATCATAATCAACCCCCCTTCTTTCAATTTTCAGCCCCTCTCTTTTCAAATTTAGCACCCCTCCAATCCCCATACCCTCTACCCGACTCATCCCTATGAATAGGCTCTAAGAGAGGCATTCTCTTCTCCCTCCGAAATCCACACCTCCCAATCTTCCCTTCACCTTATCAAATTAGGGCATTCCCCACTTCCCTAGCGGCGGCTTCCCTCGCCTTCGACGACGCCGTTTTGATTTGGAACTCGAGTATCTTCCTCATAATCTCCTCCATGATGGCAAACTTCCCTTCGATCTTCTCATGGATGGCTTAAAATTACTTCCTTCAAATATGAAATATTTTCTACAAATTAAGATTTCAATTGTCTGATCTCTTATTCCAACACTTCTATCTTTCTTCCCGCCATAGGTACCCAGATCAAGGCTCGGGGCTCCAACCACAAAAAAACGAACAAAAAAAAATGAATCGGGCCTTCAAACAGCATAAAATAGAAAGATTATAGAGAAAAATACAACAGAAATCAGTGAGGAAGATTAATATTTCTACCCACATAATTCTTGGTCGGTCCAGGAAGGACCAGCCCGATGACCAATCTATCAAACTATTTATAATTTTTGTAAAGGATATTCCAATCTTTTTCAAGTGAGGTATGCCTCATAGGTCTCATGGATAAAGGTGACTTGTAGGAATTCCCAAAGTATTTGAAAGACTTATAAAACTTGATCAAAAATATTATAAAATAAATTAAATGTGGGTCTATTTATAATTTTTGCAAACAACATCCTAATCATTTTCGAAAACATTTCTAGTAGCTGCCAGTGGACGGCACATATCACATCCTCTCATGATCAAAAGATGTTCAAGCTATGCTTTTTCAAGGCTAACTCAATTGGCCCATCCAAACTGGGGTCAACTCAGGTACTTAGTGATGGCCTGTTGTCGGCTACTGTTGAAGTCTATAATTGACAATCAGAATATAAATCATAGATCTCAATACAATAAGCAAATTAATCATAACAGATCAAAGTTTTAAAGGTCGGATTAACAAATATAATTTCAATAATGTTTCTCTAAATAAGGGCCACAGAAAAATGAAAACAATCTCCCACTATTTTAATACATGAATAAGTTACTCTCCTTGAGAGAACCATTATGCTGCAAACTATTTGCGAAGATATGGCTTGTGGAGGTCACAACAAAGTCGAGAAATCCTAATCTTTTAGAAGGAAATTCACATAATTAGTGTGTTTGGGCCTTCCCGCCTTCTATTATCAGTAATTTTGAAGTATAAAATGCATACTAGATTTCTGTGGTAATTTAAATTTTAAATTGTCAATCCAACTTAAAAACATATTAAAAATAATGCATGAACCTATAACCCAAATCGAAGAATGAAACTTAGGAATCAAATGCTTACAGTGGAGTTCAAAACAAAAAACTATGCTTTAAAACCAAGTTAACTACTAAGGAACATTCACCAGGTTAAATGTGTTTACCAACATTACCGGTATACTAATTTCTACACAATCCTCTGAAGTAACATTGAAATAGTATGTTCAGAATAAGATGAGATGTCAGTCAATGGATTTCATATTTCAATATAAAAAACTAATAAAAGATGTCGAAATAATTAGCAAATACCTGCATAATTGTTGGAAAAGTTAAGCCAAACATCTCAAGGCCATCAACTGATCCTAGAGGCTGAAGAGAAGGAAGATTAACTCTCCCAAGGTTGTGCAGCCTTCTAATTTCATTGTTCACCCTCTCTCTAACCATATTCCAACACTTAGTAGCGCTTACATGTATAAATATTTCACTTGGTCTTTGCTCCAGCTTAATCTGATCCAGGAAGGCTATCAGTCAGATGCTATAGAGCATACTGATTCATTTATGTTAAGAACATAATTAAAAATTTAGAATCAAAACAGTAGAAAAAGATTTGGAAAGCAAAATATAGTTGAAGTACCCCACAACTGGTTTTGCAACAATTAAATTTAAAAGATAAAGTTGAAGGCATAATAACATAAAAAAGATGAAAGTCCTTCAATAAATTCCTCGCTATAAAGAGAAGCTCAATCAGGTCGTTGTGGCTTTGTCATTTGCAAGCTCAAAACAATGGTGGAAAGTAGAAACTAAAATTAGTACAAGTTAGAAAAAAATCATTGACCTACAAGACAAGTGTATATTCTGTTCAAAGCCATTCAGAGTAAAGATACCTCCTAGATGTTTCATCAAACACGGATGAAAGAAAAAACAAATAACAAGTAACATAATGAATCATCCAAGTAAAAGAAAAAAAAAAAGAACATTACCATAAATAAAGGCCCAAGCAGTTCAGCGTCCAAAATCTCTGAAACATAATAGCACATCTGTGTAGGATCTAGTATGCTCCAGTATCGAACTCGACTCCTGTATCCTGAATCGTAACGATTGAAAACACCATATTATTAGTATTTCTCATATAAGGACTAAGGAGAAATATCTACATCGTGAAATTAGCAGGCATGGTTGAGAAAAAACTTCAGAATCCCCAGCATCAAACATGACCACATGTATTATGATGGTGAACTAGAAAATATCATGAAAAGAAAACTACCTTTGGGAAAAATAGCCTGACTTGTAGACCATAACCTTCCTGAAAGAACAACACCGTATTCCAAGAGCTCAACATTGCAGTTTATTCGTCGCACTACCTTGGCCATTCGAGGCCCATTCTGTGTGTGGTTCTGTCTATGAACAGTATTTAATGGAAATGATGAACATGTTTCAATCAATTCCCCATTATCCCTCATGCTATTAAGAGAATCAGAATCATTAACCTTTCCAGCTTTGTTAAACTCATCTGAGTTTGAACTTCCAGTCAAACTTCCAGAGGACTGCTGCTTCTGGTCACTCCTAGCACTTTTAGTGCCACATTCACCAAGTTCTTTGGTTTTCAGATGGTCCAGTACATGCCCTGCAATAGATGCATTTACACATGTTTTATGATCAGAGGCTCCCTCAGCAATCGAAACTACAGGAGAGTGAGATGGAGAATTAGAGGAACAGTTTCCAGTGATTTCCCCTTTTCCTTGTTCTTTGGGTTCTAAGGTAGAAGGGAGAGGAGAATGGACAATGTTTTTCAATACATCCTGCTTATTATCTCTTTGTTTATCAACAATTGTTGGACATATCCTGGGCATTGCCAAAAGCTGTTTGTTTGAAAAATTACAGATTGTTTCCTTGCCATCAATATTCACAACACCCCCAGGACTGTCTCCGTTACTTGGTTTGTCCTTTCCTGACTTTGGAGGAATTATTTGATCCCTTCTGTTGCCAACATTATATGGTAATGGATCATTCTTACTGGCTGGTAAGTTATTGCTGACACTGGAAACACTTAAATTTGTGGGACATTGCTGCTTAACGTTAGGTTCCAAGAGAGAGCAACTCATATAGTTTCTCACATTTGCATTACTTTGCACGGTTTTGGTGTTCACTACACATTCTTCAGAACTTTTATCGTGAGAACTGATGCATACTTCATTGGTCTGTTGGTTCCGAGCAAGTTTAATTTTCAATAAAGAATTATCTTGCAGACCTGGCTCCTTGGCAACAGATGGGACTGTTGACTTTATATGTTGGCACTGTGTGGTATTAGCAATAGCTAAACTAGAATCAACTGCCAGCATTTTAGTGTTGGCATTAGTTACCGTTGAGGAATGTTGCAATACAGATTGCTTTCCATCTTGCGCTGAACTTGCATTCTTAGAACTTACTGAAAAATCAAGACTCATGCTCACTTTATCATTTCCTTTAGCTTCTGAGCAATCTTGATCAGAGAACCTGGATTGAAATGGTTTCTCTTTGTTGACATAAGAACTCAAACTCAGCTTAAGATCCTGCAATCCCCACTTATGAACAGCACTCAGTTTTCCTCCTACAGCATCACTAAGAGTGTTCAGCTCACTTATCTCATAGCGAAATAGGAAAAATCTTGTTTTCCAATCACACGAGCAGAGATGCTTTGCGTGAACTAAACATGAGAATTTATCAGGTGAACATGAGCAACCAGCAGCCGAAAGGTGTAAATCATAATGACACAGTACACATTCTCGTTCGCTTTCAGAGTCAAATGCCGAGTCCATTTTTCTAATCTGAGAGGAAGAAAGATGTTCCCTTCTAATCCTCTCCAATTCAACTCTAGCCTGATAAGAAACCAGCAGCAATAAGATGAGACGCCTTAGTATTCACCGTATGGAGAGGAAGAGGTAAAAAAACTATAAGAAAAAAAGCTGAGCATTTAGGATGGAGTCCTCACCTTCAGCGACTTTGCTAGGACTCCAACAAGTCCAGATGTGTCTTTCCATACGCGATTTTCAGGTGTGTCCTTCTTAAGAAATAAGACATTCCACAATGCCCTGACAGCTTCTCTCGCCGCTCCCAACAAAAGCTTGTCATGGGATATGGTTATCTTGCGCATTTGTTCACAGTACAGTTCCACAGCATTTTGTCCATGAGGTAGCCAGTCAACAGGAGCTATATTAACAGCCTCTGCACAGTTGAATCCACAATTGAAACCTGAATGATATGCTCGGGGAAAGGTAAGAACAAATTCTCCTGGATGTTGTATGCAACGGTAAACTGGTACTGACTCTAACTTTAAAATGGAAGGTGAAAATTGGGTATCCTGCAAATTTTCATGGAAACATTAAGGTCATCCTCAAGCAAATTTTTGCAGATATTAGTAAATACAAGCATGCATGCAAACTTTCTAACAAGGTAATGGAGCAAATTTGGCTGTTCTTCAAAAAGATCTGCAAGATGTTTCTTCATAGCAGCCTCCAAATTCAAAGCTTCTCTTCCTGGAACTCCATACCAGATTTTTGGAGCACCCCAGTGTAAATAGTTCAGAGAGTAAAGGTGATGATCTTCAACGTGCTGTTTCAAAATAATGACAAAGTATCCAATTGAAGTAAATAAAATTTACAAAAAAAATACTTTAACAATTTCTAAAATGAATTATCTATCATTCTATTTATATAGTCAAGTTTCTATGCCTTTATAATAGATTAGCCTGTATGGAGTCTTACCCAACAAAATGAAGAAAAACACATGCCAACATACAGCCATGGCACAAGAACACCAGATATGTCTCCACTTTCAAATGCAAGCACTGAACCAGGAAGCCTAGATACATTGTTCAAATTCCAGCTAGATTTGGCAAAGCAATCAGCTGAATCAGAATCAAGCGGACCGGAAGCTGCTTTAGGGAAACCGCTACCAAACATACCAGTTTCCAAATCAGCACCATAGAGAACCTGCAGCGGTAAAAAATAATCACTATAAGAAATGCATATAAGATTAAACTTGCCAAAACCCATTGTTACTAAAATTCAATTCAGCCACTCACAGTACCTCAATCTCCTCAGTTGGGTGCTCAACAATTCGCCAATATTCGCCTTCAATATTCTCAATAGATGGTTCCAATTGTTCAGACCTTAAGTTAGCATTCAAACTATTGCAAAAATATTGCTCCTTAAAATGATCCGCATATTTCTGAAATGACTCTAGAGTAAAATCTGGACCTGGTGCAAATCCAAATCTTTGAGAATATGATCCTTTTTCATTGATTTCTGAAATATCTATGTTGTTTTCCCCGAAATCTGCCTTCATTTTCACCAGCCTTCTCCTTTTCCTCATCATCATGCTATGATTTCTTGACAACTTTTTCACTGTTTCCCGGTTTTGAAGCGTGTCCACTCTCTGGATACGAGTGGTAAAACTGGACCCTTCCCATAATTGTTTTTCTTTAAGAGGACAAGAAGGCTTCCAAGAAGGGGGAGGAACAATGCGACAGATTCCGTACGATTCTGCTGTAGGGCGTATACTGGCAATATATTTTAGAGTGTCTTTGAACTCCTTAAAGTAACAAAAATAAAAACATACATAGTTAATCACCCTTAACTTCAGAATTAATAACAATTCAGAGTAATGTTAAGATTGTTAATGGAAAATAAGGGGGAAAACCTCTTCGCTTGGATAGAACACAGGGGCTTCATCAAGTACGGGCCTGCATGATTCTTCAGGACGCCATCTGGCTAGGACCTGTTGAAGAATTCAACCATCAAGTGAATTCAATAAAAACTCCAAGCAGAAGGAAATCTATATGTCAAACAACTAATCATGTTAACCTTCTGGCAGTTTCCACATTCAATGCAACCACGAATAACACCTTTAGGCAGAGAAAAGGCATCCTATAGAGAAGAGTGGAAAATCATGTTACAATTCTAAAACTAAAGAATCAAATGGAGGATAAGCAAATGACCTAATGAGACAGTAAATAAATGCAACCAAACATGATTTATATAATAGTGAAAAAAACATTCAGAAAAGAAAAGCATAGATTCAAGCAAAATAGAGAATAGTACTAACTTGGTCAGATAATTCAGAGTCTGACTCTTCATCAGAGCTGTTATCTAATTGACAGTAGTTTACCCAAGGCCTATGCCTAAGCGACTTTCTTAAGTTCACAACACCAGTTGCGCTGCTCTCATCATCCATGGTAGCCTTTCTGGGATCATTGAAAGGTGTAGAGGCCAAAGAACCATCCCGAGCTCTGTGCAAGGTGAATGACTTGAGAGAAACAAAACCTGGTGGAACTGGAGATATTCCATCAGTTTCATCCAAAACTGGAGCCATTATGCATCCTGTAATCATTTCAACTGAAAGGAAAAAAGTTATTTACGAGTAACCTATTTTTCAATTAATCAAAGACATTGTAGAAATATAATTGATAAAACAAGCCTAGCAGGAGAAATGAAAAAACATTTTATCAAGAAATTCTGTGTGGAATAACAATCCCGAACTTGCCATAAAAAATATCTCGTAAAATGAAACTGAAATCGCAAAGAATCCCCAATTTTGAGACGTGTTTGTTTCTCTGACAAGGAAAGAAAGCTAAATTACTCTTCTTTTTTGTTTTTTAATTTCTCTCAAGGAAACAAGTTATGTGAAGATGGATATTCATGTCTAAGCAGAAAATAAGAACATGCTATTTTCATCTGGGAGAGAAGCACAAGAAAGAAAAACAAATAGTAGAACTAATTGAAAACTCTGAATTAACTCAGCTAAAATAAGAAGACTAGTTAAGCATTCCAAGATTCAAAGCCTACAACTAAAAGATTAATGCACAATGTTCTTTTAGTTGGGCGCATTAACCAGCTACCATTAGGGGTGTCAATTCGGGTCGGCGGGTCAGGTTCAGGTCGAACCCGAAACTGACCCGGCACTATTCGGGTCAACCCGAACCCGAAACTGACCGGCACTATTCGGATCAAAATCGGGTCAGTATTCGATTTTCGGGTCAAAATCGGGTCAAAAACGGGTCTTTCCGGTCAAATATGAGTTTTCGTGTCACTTTCGGGTCAATTTCGGGTTACTGGGTCAACCCGAACCCGACCCGATTTTTAAAACAGGTTGATTTGTTCAACCCGAACCCGACCCGTTTCGGGTTCGGGTTGACCAGAACCTAGATTTTTCCGGGTCGGGTTCGGATCGTGTTTCGGGTTGTGTCAAAAATTGACATCCCTAACTACCATTCTCCTCATTTATATAATTACTAGAAAAGAGTACGAGCAAATGCGCGGAAAAAATTTACTAAGTTAAAGAATTCATTAAAAAACACATTCTACAGTTATAAGAGATTCATTCTTAGGTTTTCATATAAACATGTTAATTAAGCAAAAAACAACAAAAAAAAAAACTAAAAGCAATTCCGAATGAACCTAAATAATGAAATTTTATAATACTGTTTATTTTTTCATTTGTTCTATAAATATAATTTTTACAAGTAATATTTATTAATTCATATGAATTATATTTTTAATTCAATTTATTATTGTAGTATAAATTGTTTTATTGCGTATATCATGTAATTTCTAATTTTATATTAAATTATAAATTGCATTTAATTATTTAATATTATAAATTAGCTATATATTAAAAAATACTTATTAATTCATAGTTATAATGTATTGTGCTCATAATTATTAATAAATACATTATCAATTATAAAATTTTCTTATAAGTTTTAAACATAATTTATATAATTATGATTTGCGGTAATAAATTATGGCTATGAATATGATGCAACTTTTAAGTAAAAACAACAAATAAGAAAGAATAAAAGCGTAGGAACACAAAGGTAATGACTATTTTTCTTATTTCTTTCTCAAAAATCAAACAAGATACAATTTGTCTATAATTTGAGAGGTAAATCGGCTCTCCCACATAGGGGTGCATCCGAGTCAAGCTGATTAGTAAGCAGGCTCAAGCTCGACTCGTTAATGAGCTTGCGAGCCGAGCTTATTGAGTTTCGAGCTCAAGCATAATATCGAGATCGAGTTCGAGCTCGGGTAATGATCGGCTCAAGTACTCGTCGAGTACTCGAGTAAACGTGGAAGGCGGAAGGTCGGGCGGAATCATGATAATGCACCTGCATCTGGCAAAAGATGAAACATGCCTTCGCAGGCGAACCGAGTCTTCGCGGGAAAACAGCGCCCTCGCGTGCGAACAACGAACATCGCCATAGCATGCAAACAACGCCCTCACATGCGCATAGTGGAAGCGGAAGCAGATCGGTCGACCGCGGATTTGGCTCACGAGTTCGTTTTCCCGGCATGATTCTAGCACGTGCTAGTCTTTTGAGCTCGACTCAAATTCAAGCTCGGTAGTTGGCTCGCGAGCTTGACTCGACCCATTTGCACCCCTAATCCCACAAACCTTAGGGTTTCGAGTAATGCAACTAAATGATGTAATTTATGAAACAACATAATTAGGATTGAAAAATCACAATTAGATATAACAACAATTAGGTAATTATTTGTTAATTTTCATGTAATAAAAAATACAAAGAATCTATGACAAATGATAATTTAAAGATTAATTAAATAAAAAAATGTTGAAAATTAATGATAGACTCTACATTTGGACATGCTAGGAAAACAACTTCAACTCATTAGTGAAGCAATCTAACAACAAATAGAAAATACCATTGTGGAGACTATATGAAAAAAAAGTCCCTCCCCAGAAGGTGAACGAACCGAAAGATATGATCATAGTTGTCAATGACGCAAAATAGCACGCGTCATTGCGCACGGCGCGGCGCGACGCACCTACGGCGCCTTGTTTATGGCGAGGCGCATGTGTTTAAAATAGTACGCGCTATTTAAACCACATGTGAGCCATGGCGTACGGCGCAAAATAGCGCGTCAAATTGTTTTTAAATTTCAGTATACTTATGAATATTTTTTATATTTAAAAATATATTTATATTTTAAGATAAACGATTGTTCGTTGCCCTAATTTCACGAAAAAAATTTCTGCTTATTGCATCTGCCAAACACATCCCGTAGTCCCAAAGTCGAAGTCGCTGAATCTGTCCCGAAGTCGAAGTTGCTGCTACCGCCAAATCGTCTCGCAGAGCAGTGCTCCCGCCAAATCCGCCCCCTCCTTCGTCTGTTCCAATAAAAAATCTTACCAGCTGACTCTGATTTGCAACATCCGTTAGGCCGTCTGTTCCGCACAGCTATATTGATTTGCATGGCTATTTCTTACAAGAATTTACAACTTAACAGGTATGCTCGGTACCGTTATGTATATGCTCGGTATCGCTATGTACATGCTCGGTATCGCTCGGTACATGCTTGATACCGCAATGTAATGCTCGATACCGCTCAGTACATGCTCGGTACCGCTAGGTACACGCTCAGTACCGCTCGATATCTTTCCATACAAACGACTTACGAACTTCAAAATTACTCTTACAAATAAAATTTGTTCCGGGGCACTGCTCTTCAGGGGCAGAGCACCCTTGGACCCCCGGCAGCCCGCCATATTATGTTTCTTTTATCTAAATTTGTTTGCTTTTAGGTGATCATAAAATGTCAGATTTAGTTCAATCTTTAAAAAAAGATCCAATATGAAAATATACTATACGAACAAATGAATCCGACAACAACAGTGTGACATGCATTTTTGTAGTAAAATAACAAAATGAGGAATTACACGCCACAAACAATACCTCATTGGGGGTTTTAGGAATGCAAAGCCTTGCTCTAACTATCCCGAGCACGTGAAGTCTGAAATTAAGACATCCATGTTGAAAAACAAAAGGATTTAAAGGAACAGTATAATGACCTATCAAATGTCAACCTTGCTGAAGGAGAAGGAGAAGACTTTGATGTGATGACAAATGATATTTTAGTTGCTGAACCATCCAAAATGTTGTGAACAAATAAATCTAACACATCTAGTCAAAGTTCGACGTCTACATCTATCTTCAAAACATCATGACCTAAATGTCCATTAGATACTTTCCTTACACCAAATCCTGAATATGTAGTAAAGCATATAAAAGGTCAGTTTAGCAAAGAAATGGATGCAGCTAAAAAATGAGGGGAAGGTCTATTCAAGTGTTTAGTAGATGGATGTACGATGCTGTGATTCCATTTAATGCTGTGAAGTATGATAGTTTCCCTGCTATGGTGGAGGCACGTGGTCAGTTTGGACCTGATATTAAACCTCCTAGTTATCATGAGATACGAGTTACTTGTTTGAAGAAAGAGGTTAGACATACACATGAGCTATTACGACGCTATCAAGAAGATTGTGTACGATATAGTTGTTCTCTAATGGCAGATGGATGGACGTCAAGGAATGAGAAAGAATGAGAAAAGCTTAATCAATTTTCTTGTTAATTGTCCAAGAGGTAGCGCATTCATAGAGTCAATTGATGCTAGTTCTTTCTCCAAGAACACTATGAAAATGTTTAAACATTTTTGAAAGTACATCGAGGTTATTGGACCACATAATGTGATCCAAGTGGTCACTGATAATGCATCCGAAAATGTTCTTGCAGGTTTGTTACAACTTTTATTCTAAAGTTGTGTTATTTCATAAAGAATTTTTATATATCTTAACTTAAATTATAATGACATAACAGGAAAATTATTGATAGACAAATATCCTTACATTTATTGGACTCCTTGTGCTGCTCACTGTTTGTATTTAATAATGGAGGACATTTTCAAAATTCAAAAGCTAAGGCGATGCTTTGAGAAAGCGGTGGCAGTACACAGTTTTATATATTTTAGGCCTCGCTTACTTGAGTTAATGAGAAGGTGCACAAATCAAAGAGCACTTGTCAAACCCGCAAAGACTCGTTTTGCAACAACTTTCTTAACTTTACAACGTTTTCATCAACATAAAATGTTTACATGTGAGAACTTTATCTTAGGTCCTTATATGAAAGAGGCTAAAACTAAATAATCTCAACATACAATCCTACAGCAATTATTTTGGAACACTATAGTGTATGCCTTAAAAATAGCTGGTCCTTTATTAAAGGTTCTTAGATTGGTTGATAGAGAGAAGAAGCCCCCAATGACTTACATATATGAAGCAATTGATAGAGCAAAAGATGCAATTGCTACAAGCTTCAATAACAGTGATAAATATGATTAAATTTTTAAAATGATTGATAGAAGATGGGAAGTATAATTACACCGGCATCTACATGTAGCAGGACATTTTTTAAATCCTAAATATTTCTTCAATAACCATAATATTACCAAGGATAAGGAAATAACTGATGGTCTATATCAATGTATTGAAAGATTATCTCAAGATGTAGCTGAAGAAGATAAAATCAGTAATGAATTAA